ATAAAGATTATAATATTGTTGTTTAGGGGTCCAAACCACTGTGACAGAGTACACGACCGGAAAAGTAATAGTGACCGGGACAATGGACGAAGAGAAACTTGTGGCTTACGTCTACCGTCACACCAAAAAGCAGGCCAGAATCGTACCCCAACCCGACCCGGAACCTGATGAAAAACCTGCCGCGGAGGAAGACAAGAAGGAGGAAAGCGGTGAAGGGCCTGAGAAACCCGCAGAAACAGGAGAGGAGAAAAAGGAAGTGGAGGAAGAGAAGAAGGAAGAAGACGGTGGCGGAGAAGAGACGGAGGTTAATGAGGAGATGGCTATGGCGGAAGATGAAGGGATGAAGAGGATGATGTATTATTATCAGCCTTTATACGTTATCGAAAGGGTTCCTCCGCCGCAGCTTTTCAGCGACGAGAACCCTAACGCTTGTTGCATTTCTTAATCTGGTTTCGTTTGCTCTAAGGAAAATATAAATATATTAGGGCAATTAATACGTAAGAAAATAGGTATAGATGTAAAACAAAAACAAAAACAAAAATGGTGTAAACTTTATATTATATTTGATGGTTTGGTATATTTATTTATATCGATGGATATGTTAGAGCATGATTAATGAATGTTTTTAAGATGAGTTTTTTAACGGAATTTAAAAAACTGTTTGTTAATTTTTAACTAAAAAACTAATAACCGGTTCTTATATTCCGTTAAAAATTCCACCATAAAAATCTAATAACTGGTTCTTATATTCTGTTTGTTAACTTTAATTTAATTAAAAAAAACTAATAACTGGTTCTTATATTCTGTTAAAAATCCCACCATAAGAATTTTCATTAATCATGCTCTTACACTTTGGTATATACGTATGCTCTTACACTTTGGTATATACGTAATCGCAACTGAAAAAAAATGATTGATACGGAATCTATTCATATTCATGAAAGTATACGTAGATGTGTGTGTCTTGAATAGAGATGCTTTACTTTTTTATTTTTGTATTCGTAGGGAAATTTTAATTTCCTGAGAATTTTCGAGACAAGATAATCTAGTAGGAACTAGAGATCCTTGTGGGTCGCACATGGTGTGCTCTCTTTTTCTCCTTTGGCGTCAATCTCCATTTCTCGGACGTGGCTGCTTTTCCAGCCTACCTTGTCTATTCTTCTCAACCTCAAATTTTAGAGGATAGTTTTCTTCCAATACATAAAGTTTGATTGGTAACTCTCATCGTATTGTCAAAAGATGTATGGTTCGAATAGTTGAGATGAATAGATAGGTGCTGACGAATAGTGATATTGATTCTTTGTTTGGTAAAAATACATTTGATTTGGTTGACGCAGATCACGGGAACAGCACGCTTCGGGTGAAGCTGGGCCGTGGATCACATAGCCCACGGTTCAGCAGAAAAGAAACAGAGAGCATGACAAAGTCCTCTTCAACTTTTGGGCTAGAGACAAAGCGAGTGATTCCTAGGTATTATTACCCTCTTCTGTTAAGCTATAAGAACTCTAATCAAAAGACATTAGTTTCTCACTGTAAATGATACAAAGAAGACTGTCATCGAGACGTACTTAAAATTATAAAATTTGAGAATATCATATAATTCTCGTGGCATTAACGCATTAAAAATCTCAATAAACTGTTTGTCATGTTACTCTGCTTAATGGTGAGGTAACTACTGTTGCGGCATATGAGGAAATTGGGATAAGTTTAACCAGAGTTTTCTTCTTTTTTATTCAATGCATGGGAGATGTACTATTATTATGATTAATTTTAGGAGCATATTAAATGTGTTACAGCTATGTCTGATAAATGATAACTCCCCAAATCTTCCATGTATTATTGTTACTAACATAAAGTCTAAAATATCTTTACAAAAAAATATTGTATTTGTATGCCCTTTCTCAAAAAAAAAAAACAAAAAATATTGTATTTGTACTTTGAATCACGTGTCTACTTAATTTGTTAAACTAAAAAAATATTAGCTTTCTTCCAAAAAAAAGAAGAAGTTATGGCAAAGAAAATTTTCCCCAAGATGCAACATATATTTAAGCACTATGGTTTATAATATTAGATCTAATTAAAACTGGGAAGAAAATCATCAAAACTTATTCTTAATCATTTTAGATCACTATAAATCTATTAAGGCTGATTGGGTAAGAGGATTTTCTGTAAATCCAACTAGATTTTGACCCGCGCTTGAAAGCGCGGAAATTTTTTATGATTAAAAATTTATATAATTGGGTTTTGTTTTAATTTAAATAATATTTTGATATAAAATCAGTTCACCAAAATTTGTGGTGATGATTGTTTTTATTAGTTTTTAGTTTCAGCTTTTATTTTTAGATTTTGGTTTTTGGTTTTTGGTTTTTGGTTTTTGGTTTTTAGTTTTTAAGTTTCTATTTTTCATTTTCAGTTTTTGGTTTGGGTTTTTAATTTTTAAACCCGCTGAGTTAGTTTGAACTAATATTACCAACAAACAAATCTCAAATAATCGAACATCTAATTTAAAACTGAAAAGATGATAAAAAAAAATTTTTAAAAAAAATTTGAAATAGTTTATTTTCTAAATAAACAAAGCAAAAAAATATAACATGTGTTTTCAGCTTTTGATTTTGGATTTTAGTTTTTAGATTTGGTTTTTGGTTTTGCTTTACATTTTTTAAATCAGTAAATTATTTAAGAAAAATAAAACAATAAAAGTGATTGAAATCTATCAAAACAAAGTGATTGTTATTTAAAATAAAAATATATATTAACATGTTTTAAAGTACATGATTTTAAATAAATGATTAATAATAGATAATTTTGTTTTGTTAAAAATATTAAATACCTTTTGGGTCTGAAAATAATAATTGATTTTTTGTTTTTTTTAAGGTGAAAAGTTTATTCAATGTTTTTGAAGTTTTTTCTTAATACTAAGCCAAAAAAAACAAACTATATAATTTGTTCAAAAAATAAAAGTAAGCACAAGACTATATTTCATAAATAACCAATCGTTTAATTTAAGTATAATTAGTAGATTTCCATATTCCATATTTTGATGATATATATTCTTTTAGAACATTCCATATTTTTATGAGAAAATATGTGTTTTTGGTATACTCATATATACCTGCCGTATTTTAAAGGTAGTTTACATTAAGGTCGTCTCTTTACATTAATTGTGTTGGTTTAATTTAAGTAATACGGTTCAATCAATTATATGACTTATATTATTTGTAACATTCTAGAAATGGTCCAAATTTAAATGACAACTTGTATCAGTAGATAAAAAGAATGACTCTATTTTAATAGAGTAGATGCCCCTTATCTATCTATCAACACTAACATTTTAAAAAGAGAACATTACGAGAATATCAAATGTGTGTGAAACAAAAAATAATCATTTTTTCTCTTATTATCCAGGAAGTAGTCCATGATCATGGAAGGGCCAATCTTCAATCAATCTTCAAATGAGAGTTACAATCCATGGATATACTATTTTTCTTAATATTCAAATGAGAATCAAAATAAGAAAAATCAACTTAGCACAAATACGATGTCCATCAGTATCCCAACAACTCGGAAGCCCGTCCCTTTCAATTATAGTATATCTAAAACCCCACAATAACAAATGCAAATAATTTGACGATGATAACAACTTTAGCTAATTTTTTTTTTTACTGAACTTTAGCTAATATATTTTGGCCTAACAAGGCATGGAAATTAAGTTATTTAACTCCCAATGTTTATCTAAAAAACTTGATAATTATCAGTAATTTGAATGCAAAGTTTTGTGTGAGTATGTGTGTGTGCGTGAAAAAAAAGAAGAAGTTTTGTGCGTGCGTGAGAAAAGCTTTCCTCGTCACTCCAGCCGATGGATATAATCTATCTTATATTCATTAGTTATTCAGTCAAAAACAAATATCTCCAATGAACACAAAATTTATAAATAAGATAGCCAAACAAAATAATCCCAAATAATAATTACTTTTTGGGTGAAATTAGGAAGTTTGGTTCTAGTTGATGTTGCTTGTGCCAATCAACTTCTTCGCCAACAATTATGGCTGTAATTTTTGAATTAGCCAAAAAAAAATTAAAAATAAATTGTACTAGCCAAACTTGACAAAAGAGACTAATGACTTCTCAGCTTATGGCAACGGTTACCATTTCAAATTTGGCTCTTTTCACTATAAAAATTAAATATGTTTCGCTTCTTCAAAATGAGTTAAAAGTAATAAAACAAAGAACATTATGTAACCAAGATGGTTGACCAAAAAAAAAATGTAACCAAGATAATGTCCATAAGAAGAAGTGGCAACTATTGAGCATCATAACACATTCCTTACTTCCTTAGTCTTCGCTCCCAGGTTTTTAACGTCGTGATGTAAATGTGCAGCATGAACGTCGTGATGATGATCCAGCAAAATTAAATTGTCCTAAAAAGTCACCTACCTATCCACATACTGATTCCGTTGCTCACATCAAAGCGTTACATTGGAGTTAATCTCCCCTGCTTGTTGCCCATTCCAGTTCCATTCACCATTCATACTTCGAACAAGTTCAGCCCATCCCACAATCTTTGTCACATAGCTCTTATTATGAGCACGTTCAAGGTTGTAATAAAATCATATAAAAACCTGCCACCAACCTAATTTTTGAAAAAATATTATGTTATTCATCAATTTCTCATATTTTAGTTTTACAAATGAACATAAACTAACTAAAACGACTAGTATAATGTGATTCAACGTTTGGTACCTAAAATTATTTGATAATCACGATCACATATGTTTCTAACTTTGTATGATTTCATTTTTCTGTTATTAACCAAATAAAAAATATTTGTATGAGAATGCGAACTTACAGAAAAAGATGTAAACAAAATTAAATTAGAAATTAAAGTCGGCAGATCTGACGGCTACAACAATTTATGACGAGAACCTACTACACTTTATGATGGCCATAAGCTTCAGAGCCCATACTCTATAAATACGTTACCGTGTCTTAAAAGATCAACCACATTGTCTTGTCTTGTCTTGTCTTGTCTTGCAAATTACAAAAAAGAAAGGTTCCTAGAGATTTTATTTAACAAGACATCACAAAGAAAATCATAATCCAAGCATCTTCATATCGTCATGATAACAGTAGCTATCGCCGCTGAGTTGCTTGAAGAATACACGTTGGCCCTTGCTCGCATCACCGCCACACTCCTCCCTCAACCACCGACAAGTCGCCGTCGAAGTGTCCGAACTCCCACTAGCGGCGACCGAGCTGAGTCTCCCTTGCCTCGTAGCGACAACTCATCATCTTGCGCTCCAAATTACACCGCTTTTCTCTTGAATTTCTGAGTTTTTTTTTGTTGTTGTATAGACGAAGAGATTTTCGAATGTTCTTCTTCTTGACTCATGTATGATGATTATGTTATGAAATTTGAACTTTCTATTTATCTTATGCGTTTATGTTTTTCTTAGTGATAGACTGAAATTAAGCATGTAAATTCTACCGAGAGTTCAAAAAAAAGTTATCTATCATTGACGGCAAGTAACTAAATAAGTATAAAGATTTATAGCGTATTAATCTCTTTTGGGATTTCGCATGTTTTCAGACAATTATTTTTATTTTATTTTATTTTCCTAGATAATTGATATCAGTTAGCATCATATAATGTGTGCAAATTAAAATTAAATAGAGTGTACGACGTTCAGTGAACTCGTCACGCAAAATCACCAAATCAAGTAACGACGACCATGAATGAACAAGTGTATTAATTGTATATTTTGGACCTTGTCGAATATATATATATATATATATATATATATATTTTTTTTTTTTCAAAATTTACCTTGTTGAATATTACACTAATATAAGTTATATAATCAATACTCTAAAGCATTTGAGACTTCGGTAAACACTAGATTATCATAAAGTTACATAAAACATGCTTACTTGAAAGTCTTTGAAAATTTTAGGTAAGATTAGATTAAGTTATTTTATTTTGGTAAATTAATAAAGAAATTATTTGTGCATGCTTAATAGCCTTCCTTATATGGAAGCAGTCCAATGGGCTTAAGTCCATGATCGCATAATCCACATGCCATCCAGGCAAGGCAAGTTACAAACCAAGATCATGGATCATCCAGGATTACACAATGACATGAGAATTCAACATGTCATTGCACAGAGATTTAATTCATTTATTATACAGAAAAACTCGAATTCATATTGTAAGGACGTTACTGAAATCACACAACTCACTTTTTTTTTAAAAAGAGTCAACACATCTATCAGTTTAGCTAGAATACAAATGGTTATTATTGCTATCTTGTGTCTTAAACAAATAAACATAGAGACGTTTGTATACAATCGAAAATACATGATGCTACATCTTCGAGTCGACATAAAGACAGACATGTAGTAACTAGTCGTTTAGAAAGTTCTCGAGACAATGTTCTTGGTCCAGATTCCTACTCCAAAACTTCTTGTAGTACTCTGCGTAAGTATAGTCTCTGTAGATTGGCTTGGCCTCGTCCTCCTTGGCTTCCCACAAGGGCTTTGCCGGGCTTATGACAGCACAGTTAGCAGGACACATAAATGATGCGATCGATAGTCTCGGTTTATCAGTGTTTGTTATTGCTCGATGCCAAACACTTTTGTATACTCCGTTACTCAATGCCTGAAATTAAATATGCTAAGCAAGGCTGGTCCAAATGGTTTTAAATATGTTGGTTTATATTATTAATGCCTGAAATTAAATATGCTAAGCAAGGCTGGTCCAAACGGTTTTAAATATTTTGGTTTATATTATTAATGAGTGTCTGTTACCTGTAACTGGTCACCAATGTTGATGACAAAAGCATCAGGACGAGGATTAACGGCGAACCAGTGACCGTTGATTAAGATCTGGAGACCACAAACGGTAGCATCCTGGAGAAGAATGGTGAGGGCATTTGGGTCGGTATGAGCAGGTAAACCATAGGTGAGCTCAGGCTCAGGGCATGGAGGATAATAGTTGACTGCCATGTGTTGACCTTGTTCACCAAGCACTTTCTTCATGTAATCTTTTTCTAAACCTAAGCTCTCTGATATCAACTCCTCTATTGTAAATCCCAGTTCTCTTACTTCTCTACTGTATTTACTCACAACTTCTCTGCAAAAGGACACACAAAGTTAGCTTACTCAAATCGTTAAGATGGTCAATATATAACACTTTTTAACAGGATACATAGATTTAGATAAATCCATGAAACTACATTATTTTGAGTTAACAGTTTTTGTTTGGGTAAAAGCATTTTTCATGCATTGAAACTCAGGATGATTATGTAATTTACCATTGCAATAATAACTATATTTTTTTAAGAAATACTCTATCATAGCACAAAGGTCAGGTCAACTATACCCGTACTTTATAGATATATTAAAAGTAAATATATTTTTTTTTAAAACCAAAATTAGATTTTTGAACATTTTTCGATTACTTTTTTGGATTTTTTTCAATATTTTTAATGAAAGTTTTTTTGGTAAAAAAATTTTAGGAAGACATTCATAAATATGTACAATATCTTCAGAAATATGAGTTTAGGAAGACTTTTCTGAATGTACACGGTATCTTCCTAAGTTTGAGTTTAGGATAATTTTTCTGATAATTATATATATTCATAAAATTGAAGAAAGCTTAAAAATGTGTATTTTAAATATATTTTAAATTTGTATTTAAGAATACTTTCATAAATATATATTTATGAATACCGTACTGAACTTGACTTATTTGTATATTTAATAAAATATTTTTAAATATGTATAACATCTTCCTAAATTTTTCAGAAGACTTTCATGATTTTTCTATCTAAATGTTAAATGAAATTATAAATATTTAAAAACATCTTCGTAAATTATATGTTAATAATATTTTTCTAAATATAAATACAAGTTGCATTCAAGAAATATATTTACACGTTTTAAAACCACTTCTGAATTTGGATTTTTTTTTTTCAAATTTGGAAAACATCACACCGTCTACAAAGGTCTTCTTAATCCCAAACTTAGGAATATATTATACATATTTAGGAAATATTCCTAAGCTGAAAAAAATATTTACAATTTTTTCCTGTTAAAAATCTTGCTTTTTCAGAATTTTTATATTTAATAATTAATTAATTAAAACTTTGAATGATGATTAAATTGTCATTTAACCTTTCAATAAACATATTTTGATCACTTTAATATTTGAGTGCTATTTGCGAACAAATACTAAAAATGTGATATTTACGAAAACTTTCCTAGTATAATACTAGAAATAATGTCGCAAACTAATTAACCACTAACTAAATTGTTGTCTCAAAATGTTTGTTTGTGTTGTGTTTAGCTGATTTTTTCAACGTAAACTACTAAACTCGAAACATCCTAAACAAAAACTCTCAATCCTTTCTGTTTACATTTGCAATTATAAAGGTTTAAAAGAGATTAATATGGGTTTATAATTCCAAAGTAAGAAACGAAAATCAATGTTTTTTATATATAACACAATCGCAGAAAGTTCGTATGATTTGGCCTTCACAGTTTCATGACGTGAAGAAAAGTACATATATCGGTTTGTTTAAGAAAATTAAAATATTGCAAAATAAAGGAAATATGATTTTTCTATTCCAAAACTGGAAGTAGGAAAGAGGAATTCCTACTTGTTCATATTTAAATATTTATTTAAATATTGTTATATTTGAAAGTAAACTATACAATATAGTTTTTATTAGGCATGAGACGGATTAGATATCCAAAATATTTTAGGATATACAGATTCGAATTCGCCATATCCGTAAAATTGCTATATAGATTCCAATTTTCTGGATATTTAGATTAGGATATCCATACTAAAATTAGAATATTCACAGATATCCGAATCAACTTTTTCAAAAAAACATATCAAAAATTATATTAGAAACCAAATAATTAACGATTTCTTTCGTCTATTTAAAACTATTTTTTTTTAAAAATCAAAAGATCTTTGAAATTTAATAGTACTAAAATTTTAATTATTTTATATAAAATTATATATAATATACATCTATACATATAATTGTATTTTAAATATGTTTAAAGTATATAACATCTAGAATTCGTATTCGGGTTTCTGAATCTATAAGATCTCTATCCGGATCTAGACTATTAGATATCCGTTTTTTTAGCAGATATCCTGAATTGGATACCACCAGATATAGGATATTAAGTTTGATGCCTACTTTTTGTAAAGGTTCGGAAGTATCTGGACGGATCTTCTTTTATAAACAGAAATTATTAAAGGTTTTTAGGAGGAGCTGGATCTCGTAATAAAAAACAACAGTGGAGTATGTTGTCAGCTTCGAACCAACCAAAAAGACTGGGAAGAAACAGTATAAAAAGAGAGCATCTATTTTTTCAATAGTCATTGAAATCAAAAACAAGTCCGGATTTTGTATAAGTTTTTTTTTTTGTATCGACAGAAGTCAGGCTTTTGGATAAGTTTATATCAGTATGGAAATTCAACAGAAGATTGGCATGATATCACGACTCTGACATCAACGCGGTTCACGAGTGACGTTTCTTCCCCGTTACCACATATCATATTTTACAAGGCTATGATTGACCAACAACCATTTATATATATTATTAACTGTATTAGTTTGTGTCAAAATTACCTTTTGTATTTACTCCCTATAGGATTCGAATTATGGTAATCTGAAACATTTTTAGACCGAAATTTATCAAATAACTGAGTTTAGTTAGTACATAGGCTTTTTAAAAGAGTTTTCGAGATCGTGTGGTTTTGCCTTGACCTTTTTCACCATTTTCGAATCTTGTTTTTACTTATTTGAATAGATAATATCTCTACATATACAGTAGCTATCATAGAGTACAGTACACACACGTTGCTGTTAAAAAATCAGTTGTATTCATGGTTGTAACTTAATAGTCGGCCGAATGAATTCAGACGGTTTTGAAGGATATAAAGTATGGTGACCACTTCTTATTATAACCCCAACAGCCACATGTATGCATAGGTATTGTGCAATGTACACATCTTAGCAATCCATGTGATCACATGGGGAACCAAATCAGGAAAAATAAAATACATGGGACCATAAGTTAAATTATCTTTTACCAATCAACGTTTTTGTATATAAGTTCGAAGAAAAACAAAATCAGTTGACTTGACTTGGACGAAGTTCCAATTTTTTTTGTTCAAATCCAAAATCGACTTTTGTGTCTCTAGGAATGAATATACCAAAATTCTCGTTATATATATGGAAAGAAAATAATATTATGGCGATTTAAATAAGGCATATGCTTTTTATTTGATAATGTTATAATACGATATGATATGAGAAAACTGCTCACACTAAGGCTACTTCCTGCTGGAAACTATATAGCTTACTCTAGTTTTGTTTTATTTCGTGTTTTAAGGAATCGTTATATAGCTTTGAATATCTAAGGCTCAGCTTATATTCTTTTATTTATAGGCAGAGTATGATATATTATTTATAGGGACCAGAGAAAAGAAAAAAAGAAATATAATAAGGTGAATGGTAGT